TTACTTGGAGCAAAGTTTGTTCATACATACCAGTACAATTCAAATGTACTGACGTCCCTTTTGCCGGGGGCGCTACATTCGTGTTATGATTGTAGGTGGATCCGTAGCAGTTACTCCAGTCCACCGATCGTAGCTCCCCTTCGTCATCCATCAGCTTTTTGGTGAGCTCCTTTCCTCTCGGGGCCCTGCGTGGCTTAGACCGCTTGTTTCCGAAATTCTATTTTGATCTTTGTGTAAGATATAGCCGGAGCCTTGTTACCGGCAAATACTGTATTATCCTATTTTACTTTTAGAGGCTCCGTACACAGTAGATGTGGGTTAGAAACTTATGTAAATCCATGTTTCATACGTTGGGCAACGTATTGGTAATTTCATTACTATTATGTAAGTATGTATGCTTTGCAAATAAAAAAAAGTGTTCTTAATTATTTATATGGCTAATTCTTGGAATATTGAGTAAGGAAATCAGGGGGGTAACGCGTGGGTTAGGAAAGGCACCTAGGTCCGCTTGACTGGGCTACCCGGTCGGGCGCCGGTCATGTCCCTTGAATTTGGGGCGTGACAACAGAACTAAAAGAAATCGGAAGAACCTTAGAGGCTATGGTTTCAGAAGAACCCCAAGTGGTGAGAAATGCTTTGAAAATCATTTATCTAAGGAGGAGAGTCAAGAGTCGGACTCGAATAGCCATGGCTGGCCAGAGAGAGGTCAAAGACGATAGGAGAACGGCCATAAACTGAAATCGACCAAGGTCTGGACCAAGCTTTCTCAAGATCTAGCCTTGAAACAATAATCATCGAGCACGCAGGAGCCATGGGAGGTAGGTACAGGCCTCCGATGACCTTTGGAAGCCATGGATTTAGGCGGTTTTAGGGTTGAAGTTGAGGGCGACGGCTAGGGTTTGAGAGGGTTTGAGAGAGGATTGAGAGAGAAGAGGATTCAGAGGTGGCGGAGAGTGAATAACGGGGTTAGGTTTAGGGGTCGTTTGAATTAAAAAAAAGGTAAGGATTGTTGTTGGCCGTTGATCTGAATGATCAACGATCTGGATTAAAACAGGCGAGCGAGTGGGTTATGAAGACGGATTTGGGTCGGATTGAACGGGGATTGGGTCAGGGTAATTGGGCCTCAGATTGGGTTTAATTTGGGGTTCAAAATCAGGCTACAATTGAGATAAAATGGGGCTAACATTTAAATAGCCACTTTTCCTATTTGATTTATAAAAATAGTAAAATAATTTCTGGAAATAAATTAAAGGTACCAAAATAATTTATTGCACATAATTAACTATTTAAAAATACCAGACCTAATTTCTATAAGTATAAACGTAATTAAATTTTAAAAAGGCTAATATTGCAGTTATATGCAATTTAGCTTTTAAAATACTAAATAGATTTGTAAAAATATACAAAAATTATATTAGATATATTTTAGCATAAACATGAGAGATAAATGAATGACCAAAATAATAATTTTGAGAATAATTATTGGATTTTTTGGATAAAATAGGGCAATAAATCGATTTAAAAAATCTTTTAAAAATTAAGGAACAATAATAAATCATTTGGGCATACTTATATATGTTTACATATGCTATTTTGAAAGTATTTGGAATATTAAAAATATACAGGGAAAAATTGGGTATCAACACCGACTTACCAAGTCAGCTCACTTCTTACCAGTGAAGACTACAGATTCGGCCGAGGATTATGCCAAGTTGTATATCAAAGAAATTGTCTGATTGCATGGGAGTCCTTTGTCCATTATCTCATATCGTGGTCCTCAGTTCACATCAAACTTTTGGAAATCTTTTCAGAACGGATTGGGCACAAGGGTGAACCTCAGCACCGCTTTTCATCCTCAGACAGATGGCCAGGCGGAACACACCATTCAAACTCTTGAGGATATGTTGAGGGCGCGTGTTATTGATTTTAAAGGTAATTGGGACAATCATCTACCTCTCATTGAGTTTGCTTATAATAACAATTATCACTCTAGTATCAACATGGCACCGTACGAAGCTCTCTATGGGCGAAGGTATAGATCATCAATTGGTTGGTTCGAAGTCAGAGAAGAGGAGTTGTTATGACCCGAGATGGTCTATCACGCTATGGAGAAAGTCAACTTGATACAAAGGCATTTGAAGACGACTCAAAGTCACCAAAAGTCCTATTCGGACGTGCGGCATAGAGACTTAGAGTTCCAAGTTGATGATTGGGTGTTTCTGAAAGTATGCCCATGAAAGGCGTTATGAGATTTGGGAAGAAAGGGAAGCTTAGTCCCTACTATATTGGTCCATATAGAATCCTGCGAAGGATCGGACATGTGGCTTATTAGAATTGCCACAAGAACTAGCTGTTGTACACCTAGTGTTTCATGTGTCCATGTTGAAGAAATTCATGGGAGACCCGTCACTTGTGGTTCCTACAGAGATTATAATTTCCAACTCCCCAACCCCATAGCACGAGGCTATGCCGCATCACACTACACCACAAATCATTTATTAATCAATTTAAGCTTTTACAAAATAATATATATTTGCGGCTGGTCAAAGACCACTGATTCTGCCAAGCGCACGCTCGTCCCAACACATGGACCAAGCAGACAAAATATATTTTTAAAACGGATTTTCGAAAAGAACTCATCAAAGCTTAAAGTCTCACTTACCTCGCTAACAGGAAGTTTCCCAACCTTGTAATATTTGGAACACCAACCAAACGTCCTCCAAGGGCCTCAATCTATCCAAAATATTTAATAACACGTCTTACTTAGTCTAGATGAATAATTTTCAAAATTTTAGAATAAGTCAATATAAAAGTCAACTCTTAGTCTAATTAATAAAGATCTGTACCAAAACAGTGCATTACGATGGCATACACTACTTCTGCCAACCATACTATTACTATTCTTAATCATGTCAACCAATAAGTCATCAATAGTTTATCCCCCATTATTACGTAGACTATTAGTGTCACGATCCGGATTTCCCACCCTCGGGAGTCGTGATGGCGCCTATTGATGAGAGCTAGGCAAGCCAAATCTTAACTATCTGCTACCTTTTCATATTACCTCTTTTTAACACAACATAGGGCGACAATATATTAAAAGAAAAATATAAGAATATGCGAAAGTCAACATTTATAAAACTCAAAGCCATGTCTATTACAACTTTTAAACTTCAATACCCCAAAATCTGGTGTCACAGTAACACAGACTGTCTAAGAGTCACTACATACAAGGTCTGAAGAAAATACACAATACTGTTTCTGAACAAGGATAAGGAAACATGAAATGGAGATAGAGAGAGACGCCAGGGCCCGTGAACGTCTGCAGGTCTACGTTGGTCTCCGAGTGGACTGAAGGAAGCCCTCCAACTACTGCCCGAAAGCTACAAGCTCAAACGTTAAGGACAATAGGTCTTAAACTTAGGTTAAGAAGCCCAAAAGTTAAGGACAATAGGTCCTAAACTTACAGTTACAAGTTCAAAAGTTAAGGACAATAGGTCATGAAGTCCTGAACTTAGACTGACAAGCTCAAAAGTTAAGGACAATAGATCTTGAACTTAGGCTAAGAAGCCCAAAAGTTAACGACAATAGGTCCTGAACTTAGACTAACAAGCTCAAAAGCTAAGGACACTTGGTCCTGAACTTACAGTTACAAGTTCAAAAGTTAAGGACATGTAGTCCTAAAGTCCTGAAGCTAAGTTCAAAAGTTAAGGACATGTAGTCCTGAAGTTAAGTTCAAAAGTTTAGGACGTGTAGTCCTGAAGTCCCGAACTTAGGGTTACAAGTTCAAAGTTAAGGATATGTAGTCCTGATGTCCTGAAGTTAAGTTCAAAAGTTAAGGACACGAGCAGAAGGGTATTTTCGTCCAGGCAGTTAAAGTTTATTAAAGCAGTGGCTAAAGACTAAAGACATTTTATACAATGGCTTAAAAGTACATACATATATTATTAGTGGATAACCGTGCACTTAGTTTAAACTTTAAAGTGTGTGTAACATATATTCGATTAAAATTAATTGATAGTGAGAATTGTATATTGTATTGTTATTTCAAAATAATATTTGTTTTGATTGTTTCATTAAAATTGATTTTATTGTATTGTTAAATTTATTATTCTGAAACAATAAAAGTCACATTTTTTGAAATAACCTATTTGGTGTGGTGATATTATGTCCTATTTTTCTTTTCATTTATACCGTAACTTATTACTCCTTTGTTTTGACTTTTCTGTCTAGGTCCTTTGTTGACTCCTTCTGTTTTATTTTTTAAAATTATTTGTATGCAAATTTTGATAAATTTAATATTTATAGAATTGAGTTATTTTAGTAAACTTATTACGGACATAATATTCATCTACAAATACAATAGCAAAATATTACTCCCTCTGTTCCAGTTTATGTGAACCTATTTCTTTTTTGGTCCGTTCCAAAAAGAATGAACTCTTTCTAAATTTGGTAACAATTTAGCTTAAACTTACAACTCTACCCTTAATGAGAAGCTTTTATAACCACACAAATACTCTAGGCCCCATTTGGACTTGTTTAGGACCACAAATTTCAAAAGTCTTCATTTTTTCTTAAACATCGTGCCCAGTCAAACAGGTTCACATAAATTGGAACGGATGGAGTATTTAAAAATACCAAACAATACAATCCAAACCCTAGATTGCAGAGCTCGGGTCGTTGCCTTTCAGAGCTATGTCGAAGTGGGCAGAGTTGCCTTACGATCTCCTTACTGAGATTGCAAACCGTGTTAAAGTAATTGAAGATTTCGTTTCTTTTGGTGCCGTTTGTACCTCTTGGCGAACTGCTGCTACAAAGAAAAATTTCGATGTGTTTTCGTCTCAAGTTCCATTGCTTATGCTTTCTGATAAAGATGAAGATTATCGAGAATTTTACTCTTTGTCCAAGCATAAAATTTCACGCATATTTCTCCCTGAAGTTAGGGGAGAGAGTGTTTTCCAACGCAAGGATGGCTTTGCACTGTGGCATATAACGGAGAGATGAATTTGTTGAACCCTTTCTCCCGTACCCAAATTGAACTTCCTTCAGAAAAAGAATTTTGGGTTTTTCATGGTTACGTAGAATTATGTAAAGGAGAGTTCTGGCACTATATGGACAAAGCTGTATTATCTGCCAATCCTTTAGTTGCATCAGATTATGTACTAGTGGTTTCTTATTATACAGACTGTGATTATCTTTTGGCTTTTTGGCGACCTGGTGATCTTAACTGGACTAAAATTGATTTTGCAAAAGGTTGGGTTTATTACATTGCAGCAATGATTTACTATAATGAGAAATTTTATTGTGTGACATGGTGTGGCCAAGTTTGGGTTTTTGACATTGCCGGAGCTGCCATTCCTCAACCAATTGTTACACCACAAATGCTTTTCCCCCTCAAGAATGATATGTTCAGTCAATATTTATGTCAGCAGTTCTACCTAGTTGAGGTATCCAATTCGCTATTATTTGTTGCTCGAGTTTCCCATGGAATTGGTGGTCAGACCTTTAAAATTAAAGTGTATGAGTTAGATATAATCAAAGGTGAATTGAAGGAGATTAACAGCTTGGGAGATTCGGCTATATTTTTGGGCCTTAGTGGAGCAAGTTCGATTGAGTCCTCTAAGTTTACAGGAGTCAAGCGTAATCACATATATTTTACCGATGATTGGTGGGGGATTAAGAATAAGGAAGGTGGTAATGGAAGAGATATGGGAGCTTACAATCTTGAAGATGGAAAAATTGAATCTTTTTATCCTGGATTGTCAATAAGTCCTCTTTCCCCGCCAACTTGGGTCACACCATCAATCTCATAATTGACTCACCTCCATGTTTTGACTCAGCACCTCAGATCATGAGGAGTTGTTGTCTCTTGTAACTTTGGTTATTTATTTGTTTTTCATAATTATGTTTGAAGTTAAGTTAGATATGATATTTTCCTTCACTGCAATGCATAAATGTTATGTATTTTTTATTTAATGAATGCTATTTCTAGATGATTGAGGACTCAGTTTGCTCATATTAACTCTTTAATTTGATTCTCATTCTACATTCTAGCTCCTGCCAACATGTCTTTTAGATGTCTTTGTGTTTTATTTGCGCATACAGAAATACACGCCCTAGGTGCGAAGTGTTGGAGGATGAAGCAGATCCGATCCAGGCTTCAATTGTAAACCATAGTAGTTAGGGCTGCTTGTGTACGCACTTATCTCCTACTCAATAATGACATTATCTACCAATATATATGGTGTCCGAGATAAAAAGACTTGCATCTGTTACAATGTGAAGCTGTTCAATAATAATTGTATGCTATTTGCTTCATTCATTTACCTTTTCTGTTGCATTATCATATTTATTTTGATTTACTTGGTTGCTTTGATACTTTATTTAAGATTTAAGGGACAACCAACTGAAACTTTTTGATAAGTACCCTTATTAAAGGCACCAAGGAGGAACTGACTAGGTATGGAATCCCTCAATTACGTGTGGGATCAATGAACTCGAGTTCACATTCTATGTCATTTGTAAAACACACTTCGCTATAAGATTCAAATGTTTTATACATCTTAGTTTACTATAAAAAGTTTTCTACTTTCTTCGAAGCATGAGTTCTTTCAAGCTAATATACTTAAAAAGATTGTTTACCTCTGTTCCTTCCTCATTTCTGGCCCTCTTCCAGCTGTCTAATGCTTGATTTTGTGCCCCTAGCATCACCACTGCATCAATATTGGTTTAGCAACATCCACCAACCTTTCATACGTATCTACAATGCAAAGGAACGTGATTGACTGATTCTGCTTTTTCCTTCACAAAAATCACGCCTGCTGCACAAGTTGTAATTTCTTTTCTGCAAGTTATCCTGGTCTAAGCATGCATTGTGTACTGCAGTCCATCCAAAACCAGGCTACTCTTGATGGTGCTTTTGCTTTCCATACCGTCCTCCTAGCCCATTTTGCAGCTGTTCCCCAACCTGTCTCTTTGCAGTAAGCTATAGCATGATCTTACTGAAAACTAACCACCCCCGTGTCCATCCGTTGCAGGTTACCCCTTTGATATGTACACTGATTAACATGCTTAAGGAGTTTTAGAGGTGCATCACTCTACTAATCTCCCGGTTGATTCTCTTTTAAACTGGAAAATCCGATTCCCTCCACTTGCATTCTGCATTAGTGCTTTCCTTCTAATGATCTTCTTTTGATATTTTCAACTACATTTTCTGCTCTTTTTCCATTGCTTATTTCGAACTTGTCCAAGAATTCCTCCCATAGGCTCCAATATGTTTCCAAAATGTGACTCCATGAGTTAGACTAACTGGTTAAGTGAACCAATCTTTTCCTGTACTATATTTACTTATGATCACTCTTTTCAGTAAGTCTTTTCTGCCATCGTTAAGTCTCTAAAGCCATGGAGGCTAAATGATGGTAGAAACACAGTTGTTGTTATTTCAAAATATGGCATGGAGAGTTACTGAGAGCCAAAAGTAGTGAATACTCCCTACGGGCTGGCCATGTTGAAGCAAATAGTGAATATTTGTGTAGAGTTTAAGGATAATATCAAATTAAAAGGGGGTAATGAGAGAAAAGTTAAACTTTGGACGGAGAAAAATTGAGTGTTTCGTCATCAAGGCTCTAACACATACTTTTCCTTGCCAATGAGCGTAATCCTGAAAAGGCAACACTAAACAATTGATTTTTCACTTTATAAAAAATTTATTCAATTTCTTTGTCCATTATTTGGTATTCATGCTTATAGATATTAGTCTTGGACTACACATATATATTGGTAATTTTTCTCCATTTGCGCCTTTTTTCATTAAAGCGCACGCTTTATTTGCGCTTTGAGCTTAAAGCCCCAATAGAACTTAGAGCTTTTTTGCGTTTTCCGCCTTGGATAATGCTGGTCTAGCACAGGGAAACTTGCAGGGGAGAGGGTATAACCTATGCAATAGATACTTTTTGTGCGAATCTGACACTGAAACAGATAGTCACTTGCTTCTGCAATACCAGCACACTTGGATGATCTGGATGCTACTTCTAAATATGTATGGGGTGCATTGGGTGATGGCACAAAATTGTAAGGAGCTACTTGACAGTTGCCAGGTTCAAGGCACGGATAGAAGTTTGAAGAAGACTTGGAAGCAAATTTCTTCATGCATCATATGGACAGCTTTGGTTGAGAGAAACAAGAGATGTTTTGAAGGAAAAAAGGAGTCTTTTTCGGCTGCAAGGTACAGATGTATACAAATTTATTTTGTTGGCTTAGAGGAGAACCTGTAATTAGCATTAATCATTTCATGGACTTGCTAGATGTTGTTTTTGAGTAGTCTGTATAAAATAACGCTCTCTTTTGCTCTTCATTGGTGTTTGCCATCTCATTAGGTGCACCATTTTCTTGGCCCGATTGCCTTCCCCAGGGAATCATTCCTTAATTTGCTTCTTTTCAATATTGGCACACATTTGTATTCGGGACATTTCAATGATACAAAAATGGGGGGAATTCCCGATAAAACACAGATTTATCTTAATTTATTGATTTCGAAATGGTTTGCCATGCACATACACCCCAGTACATGTTCCTTGATGCTAAGGGTGTAAGTTAACATTCCATCCAAGACACTAATATTCTTTCAGACTCCTCAATTACATTTCTTTTCACATGTTTTTATCTCTGAACTTTGCCCCCAAAGGACAGCCCAAATACATATCATGAAGCTTTTCCACCTTACATTGCAGGGTCAGGCGCAGTGGCGAAGCTAGGAATTTCTCCAAGGGTGTTCAAATTTAAAAGAAGTGGAAAAAATTCCGACAAAGGGTGTTCAATATGTGTTATATACTTTAAAAACGTAATATTTTACTTATGTAAATAGTGTAATTTTTCGACGACCCTTGCCAATACGTGGCTTCGCCACTGGTCAGGCGTCTACCAGTTTATGGATGCTCTGGCATGCATTAACCAAAAAAGACAAATTTTGGCGTTGAATCATATGAAGGCCTGAGATTTTCTGTAAAGCCAGTAAATAGCCTTCAAATACATTAGTTGACTCTTCTGCTCCTCATAGAGTAAGGGTATAGTGAGAAAAAAGAACGTGAAATACTTCCACCTTATTACTAGGCCCATTAGCCACCTGGAAACCTTGCTAACCAGTTGTAATTTAAAGCTTTGTTCAGTACTAAGTTGAACGGCGTATTGAACGCTATCATTACTGATAAGAACAGAAATGGTGACAAAATCACCATGTCTCATGCCTCTTTATGGGGAGAGAAGTGTTGTAGAGCTGGATTAATGGCCACATAGCCATTTTAAAAAGTTGATATACATGCATTAACCCGTTTTCTCCCAAAACCCATCCTCTTCGGCGTACTGAAGAGAGAAGCTCAATTATGCTTTTATAAAATCTAATATGCAAAGTACTTTTGAGCTCGTCTGTTTCAATCTCAAATCAAGGTATTCATTAGCCTCCATTGCAGTATCTATGATTTGTCTCCCTCTAATGAATGCATTTTGGTTTCCTGCAACTAGTTTATCAATAACCTTCTTCAACATTCTGTGTGAACAATTTTATATATACCCCCAGGCCAGGAGGGTAAAAGGACAGCACGGTGCATTAAGCTTCCGCTATACGTGGGGTCCAGGGAGGGACCAGACCACAAGGGTCTATTGTACGCAGCCTTACCCTGCATTTTTACAAGAGGCTGTTTCCACGGCTCGATCCCGTGACCTCCTCTTACAAGGCGGTAAGAGGTCTAAAATATTTTTTTCTTTTAAAGCTGTGGACCAACTGAAATTACAATGAAATTGAGGTTTTTTGAAAAGTTTATCAGCTTAATCTTGATGGTATGAAGTAAACCTATAATTTACTAAATAAAGCAAGATCTTCTGTGCAGAATCAATGTATTGCCTTTTGTCTACGAAAAAATATGTTTTGAATTATAATTTGTTTCTATTGTTTAGATGGTGTCATGATTGCTACTGTAGTGTGATAATACTGGGTATGTTGTTGTTGTTTGAGTGTTGAAATATTTTAGTTATATCTTTACCTGTACCTTTCTTCGTAAGCCTTGCTTCAAGATGTCAGTTCACTATTGTTTTTGTTCCCAGCTTTATGTTACTTGGTTTTTCCTTTTATTATGCAAAAGTTCTAAACATTTTGATTCTTTCATGGATGTGAACATATTATTGTTTCGAGTATGGATGCACTTCCTAAGTGCAATTTGTTGAACTCTTTGGCCTTTGCGCTGCAGATAACAAAGGTTTAAGATTCGTAAATACCTAGCTACAGGTGGAACTTGTCCGGACACTGGATTAAGCTTGTAAGAAGATGGATTTTTTCTAACTCTACTGCTCCTTTGTTGCTTGTTTAGGTACTATTGTTCCTACTGCTGGTCACTCTGCAAAGATACCGCATTCCTGGCATCTGAACTTTTGTGAATATTGTTCACCTTCAAATCCATTGGTACAAACTTGAATAAGTGAGTTTCCTTGAATATTAATATTGATGCTGCTCATTTCTAAGCCGGCATTTGCTGCGGCGATATTGGAAATTCTGCAGTCATCTAGAGTTCTTTCTATGCTTACTGAATCTTCTGAAAACCTGAGTAAGGCCACATTATTTTGAGAATTTATTGAATGAGCTATGTTGATCATCTTCTCCAGGTTCGTTGATATGACAAAGTCAAGCACAAAAGGTAGGAATGTACCTTTGCATCCTCTGTGCTACCTGTGCATTTTATGGTAATTAATTATCTTGTTTCAAATTTAGAAACTTCAATATTATTACTCCCTCTAGTCCAAATTTAGTAGATCTAATTTCTCTTCTAGTCCATCCAATTTATTTTTTTTGTTGGTAAGAGGGGAAACCCGCAGCTGGTACAATCTCTGCCACAGCCTCTGCCCTTCGGGTGAGCACTTTGTGCGTTCTGGGTAAACCTTCCCCTGTATAGTCCATCCAATTTCCTGAAGCACTTTCACAGCTTTCTGCAATACTTTTTCTTGGTTCATTCTCTGCTTGTTAGTATAGGAGATTTGAAGCTATAAGGTAAAACAAGAAATTCACTTCAGAATGATTCTGCTATTTACTTTATAACCTTATGATCACTCTTCGAAAAAGGCTGCATCCCCTCCATTACATTTTTAAACTATTTCATAGCCGGATGTTCCTTTATGTACCTGCACACAACTAGTCTTCATAAAATAACATTCTTTTGTAAAACGATTAACTTTTTTCATCTGTTCATTTGGTTATGAAGAGGTCCGATTCTATGCTCCTCTCCCTCATGCCTTGTGGGTTTTGAGAATACACAAGGAAATGTCTGTCAAACCCATCACTACCTCTAGATGGATTTAAGAAAATTGCAGTAAAGTAATACAAAAGTCCTACTTCCACGTATCTGAAATATAATTTGAACAAATCTCTAACACAGACTACTTTTGGAAATGTACTGGTACCTTCTTCTCTTATGACATGCTCTAGTCAAATGAACTAGCTTAAGATGGTAATACAAGTAAAGCTGGCTATCATGTTTCGATTGCATTTTCTCTCTATCTTTGTGTATTTTCTTAGAATAAGTTTGTATTTTGATTTTTATTTTTATTTCAGAATGGCAGGTATTGTATACCACAGAAATAACTCAAAAGTCAAAGAAGTTCGGCGATGGGATTTTGCTACTTGTGATGTCTTGGGGAGAGGTTATTAGGCGGGACATGGCGCAGCTGGAGCTGACTGCATGGCCTAGACAGGAGGGTGTGGAGGTCAAAGATTAGGGTAGAAGGTTCGTAGGTAGTTGCGCATTTCTCTTTGTCTTACTCAGTTTGCTAGCATTAGTGTTAGTATGTTATCTTTTATCCATAGATGGCTATTCCTACTTGTTGTTTTTATTCCTACTTGTTGCAATTACCTTTTCCTTTTCCGTCGTTCTCTAGCCGAGGGTCTATCGGAAACAGCCTCTCTGCCCTTCCAGGGGTAGGGGTAAGGCTGCCTACATCTTACCCTCCCCAGACCCCACTTGTGGAAAACTACTGGGTTTATTGTTATTGTTGTTGTTGATGTCTGGAGCATGGCAAACAGGTTGGTACATCTGTGCGCTTGGACCTTCTCAAAGTATGATGTTGGTCACTTCTTTTTATCTAAATTTAAAATCTGTGTTAGAATTGCATCACCAACCTTGTGCTCCTCCTTCCCGGCCAAAGCAAAAAGATTGCTGTTGCTTGCTTATGAGAGCAATATAAAAGACTAATCTGTTAAAGACAATGTAATTGCTTTATAAAGTATTGCTAATGCAAGAATCCCTGCTATGTTCTGAATATTTGAGAACTTATTAGCGTCGTCAATGGCAACGTTGGAAGTCGTCTATGCATCTCTGGAGAGTTTCAACTTTGAAGGTGAATATGACCTCACATTTCATACTTTTGATCAAGGCATGGACTAGAAGAAAAAAGTTTTTATTTTACCAAAGATTTATTACTCCTATTTGTTACCTTTCGAATTTCCAAATACGGACACGTACTCAGAGCCAAGAAGGTATTGCCAGGGAATTGGGGATCAAGATGAAAGGGGAACGAGAAATAGAAGAACAATATTAGAGCCACTTGTAATAGGGGCGCAATATAAATCATTGCCAGGCATGCCTGTCCTGAGCCGAGGGTCTATGGGAAACAACCTCTCCATCCTTATAAGGTAGGGGTAAGGTTTGCGTACACACTACCCTCCCCAGATCCCACGGTGTGGGATGATACTGGGTATGTTGTTGTTGTTGTTGCCGGGCATGCCTAGATTATTTGGTCAAGTACATAGTGATACACCGCATGTTTTTATGTGATGCCATGCTTTATTCAGCAACAGTGTTCTCTCATGAACTGCTACAAATTTTCCTTACTGTTATTTCTCTATTGATACACAGAAAAACTAAGGTATAACTTGAAGGAAGATTAACAGATGCCTTCTCCTTTCGTTGTCCTTTCAGTTTTCTCTCATATTTAGTCATCTGCTATTCAAATTTTGACGGCTTATATTTTGGTAATGATATGATTATTTATCATATAATTAAGTTGGCGTCTTCATCTGTTTTACTGCATCCTACTTGCTCTTGTTGAGTCTGTACATGATGGGATGATTTTTTTTTTGGTTGGAAAGATAATTTATATTATATAACTTAAACTAGTACATCACACATATTCAGTAGATGCATAAGAGGCATCATTTGTCCAAAGTCTCCCGTATGGGATGATGGGATGATAATGTTGTAGAAGTATGGCTTAAAATTCTCTGTACTATAAATAAATACTTCAAAATTCTTTTTATTTGATCTTCAATTTTGTGCAGTGATTTATGTTTTCTATTTTGGTGTTCTTCATATAATATTTTTACTTGAATCGTACGAGTCATTATTCATGTATTTTAACTTAACTAGTGTTAAGTACGTGATTTATAACTGTAAATTGTTTGATCGCTTTGAAATGTAGTTGCAACTGTAAATACAAATACTGGAGTATCATAAATTATTCAGCCCATATTTGCTTTATCTTTAACTCTAGCAAGTTTTTTGGTTTTCTTAGCTTATATGGTACAAAATTGCTAATCTTGCATGCAAATTACGAAACGCATTGTAATTTGTGAATATATTTTAAATAGCAGATTTAAAAGTGGCTACTAGTGCACTTCACTCTTGAATTAATGAAACATAGCACACACTAGAAGACCTTTTTTTGAGTTATTTTCTCATAGATTTATTTTCAAAGGGAATAAGCAGTTACATTATTATAAAGTACATAATACACCAACACACACACAAATTCTCAAGTTCCATAGTAGGTTCATAACTCAGTAGTAGTCAATAGCTAGCCATGGCTGAAATGTGCTTTTTATTTATTTGTTATATAATCCCTAGCTAGTACTAGGAACTTCACTCTCTTCCTTTTCATAAGCCAGGCTGCTACTCACCAAACCTGCATAAAAGAATTTTTACACTATCAGCTCAGTTTAACTTGTTATAAAAGATTGTATATTTAATTTTTCAGATAACTAGTTTTACTTATTATGAACAGTTACCTGTAGTTATTTAGGAGCAACGTTCATCATCGCTACTGTCGCTACAGTCGCTGCCGCTGCCGTAACCACTCTTGCCCTTTCTCCTACGATGTTGCTTCTTGTAAGTGGTGGTGCAACCAGAGGCTGCACCCATTCCATAGCCACTATGTCCATGATGTCCCTCATGTTTCTTTCCAAAGCCCATAACATGGCCCAAAGCGCCTGAGCCCATTCCACTGAACCCGGGTTTCTGCATGTGAGTGTTGTGGCCCGTGCCATAGCCCGTCATTCCATGATTGTTGTGGCCCGACCCGTAGCCCGTGTCATGGCCCATCATGGGCCCACACGGGTTAGTGCTACAGTATCCGTTACCTAGTCCATGTTGATGGTCGTGGTTAGTGCCATAATCCGTCATTCCAGGGTTGGTTTTGTAACACCTTTCTTTCTGGTAGTAAGTTTGTTGGTAACCCGAGTTCGAGTAGTTAGTTGGTTTTTGGTAAGTGCCTGAGGATTTCTCATAGTAATCAAACTCCTTACTTTCTTCTTTGTAGCATTGCATTGAAGCCATGGTTAATGTTTAAATGGATGTTTGAGAAGAGTATTTTGTTTGTTTTTTTTGGCTGGCTTGAGGAAAATGAAGAGGGGATGATAGGTATTTATACAAGTTATAATTTAGTGGGATTCTCTCATTTCCTCTATTATTTGATGATTTTTGGATCTTTTCCTTTTTCTTTTGTAAATTGCCAAGGGCCAAAACGAACTTATTCTTGTGGGATAATGTGGATGAATACGATAGAGATATATTCCTATCCTTGTTCAATTATTTTTATTTGAACGGTAGGAAATCAGTGTTGTACAATATAGGTGCAAGCGTGATCATATGAACACCTTTTATCGAAAAATTATACTATGTATATAAAAAATTATATCGTATATATAGAAAATTATGTAATATTTATAAGTCAAATGTTACTTTTTATGCATGATGATAGGCTATAATTGCGTATTTTAGTCGATTATTACACTCTAATTTACTGCACTTTAGTTGAGTTTGCGCTTTAATCGCTAGTGTCTTGCACTAATTGTATTTTATGCCTTGTAGGAGTGATTCCGAGCTATATAGATGTTATGGAATGAATTCAAGTGATTTGGAGCTTTGAAATATGAATAAAAGCAAGGAATTAATCCGGGATCGCATTTGGGGGTCAACGGATGATAGTTAGAGCGAACAAAGAATCGAGCAGGCACATTGCGCACTATCTAGTAAAATACACATAACCTTTTGCTCAAAACTCCATTTGGGCTCCACAATATATGGTTGGAAAGCTAACTCAAAGGGCTACAACTTTCATGTTTTACGTTTTTCCAAATTCGTAACGGAACAGGGTGAAAAATGCGCGCCCGGATGCGCGATCATGCTAGTTTTAGCGCGCCCAGGATAGAAAGTTGTTCAACTAGTGCGGCCATTAGCGCGCCCAGATGTGCGACCGCGCTAGTCAAACCCGGGAAAAATGTCCTTTTTCACATTGGAGAAGGTATAATTATTTGGGCCCAACCCTACTTGGTATATATACATGAATAACGGCATTTTGTGGGGGGGGGGGGGGGGTAGGGGGGGACGGGTATTT